AACGTTGTTCTGTTGTTGAGAAAATTAATTTTTTTCAAACAGGCTGCAAAAAGCGAGGAAATTCACTTGTATTTTCCAGTTTCCACCGACAAACTTCCATTTTTCTGCAAAACGAATGTCATATATATATATATATATATGTATAGGACATTTAGGTATATACATCTAAATGTTGTCTAGCGAACACGAGAAAATAAAATGATAATAGAATCCAGCAAATAAAGAGATAAGATATCTCATGTGCGGACATTTTTTCGTCTCAGTAGAGTAAGGTGGGGTAAGTAGAACAGTATTTTCTTAAATCTCCGTATTTTCGTTCTCTCTCAGTTAGCTTAAGAAAGTTTTGAGTAGTTTCTTGGCAACATCGTGTTTCTCTTGTATTTCATGTGTCGAAATATTAACTCTCTCAACACTTTATACAGTAAAGCAAAAAAAAGCAAAAAAAAGAAATCAAGGAAAATCTCATCTCGTACGAGTGTATTTGTAATATATCATCATCATCATATTCTCAATCGTGTAGATACTAGATATAACAACATCAACAACAAGGCCGAAAAATAGAGAGAGAAGGCGCACAATAAAATCCCTTTTTTTTGTCTCCTACACACACTAATAATATACTCTAAATTCATTTATTTTATTATGATTTTATTCCTTCGTTCTTTGCTGCGTGCTTCTATATATTAAAATAAAACTGCAAAATCCGAGAACCATATCAAACGAAAGCCCATGAGGTTGTGAGCAAGAAACTGTGACTAAAATATCGGCGCAGTATCAGATGCGAGACCGACATTAGAGACGTGCAGGATACCCTTACCCTACTCTATTTTAGGGTACAGTGAGGACTCCGAAATCACACAGTAGGGTAGAACTAGGACTTTATTTGACTAACTCGGATGAACCATATCGTAACTAACAAAGTAATTGAATACAGAAGTCAGTCGTGAACGTTATGCTGCTAAGAAATATTAAAATATGGTGATTTCATCTATGACTTGTATAAAAAAGTAAAAGAAATGATCGTCATGAAAAAATCTCAGAATTTTCGATGGATAAGGCCAAGGATCAAGGAAGAGCTACCCTGCACATCTGTAACCGACATTATCGACTGCTGATGAACATGGGGACTGATGTTACATTTTCCTCGATAACGATACATAGTCAAATACAATGGCCCAAATATTCTTCTAACTAATACTCTCAAATTCGTATGTGTAAATAACAAAACCTAAATATGAAGTAGGGCGTGCATTTTAAAATTTCGAAAAAAATGAGAGCAGCCTAAAGTGTAGAATATTTTTGGATGATAACAAGGAAAAATTAGACGTAAATTATTTCATTGGAATGAGTTTTTCAAGCACAAGCAAACGGTGTGTTTTATATTGTTTTAAATTCTCAATTCACAAAAGTTAGAAAAATCTTTTAAAAAAGGTCGATTTTTGTCAACTTCGCGATTAATTCAACGGAACTATCCTCTTCACAATGAAACTTGATTCCTGTAATATTTTCCGGTAGAAAAAAAATGACACTTTTAGACATTAATATGTGCACAGCTATAATGCCGAAAAATGGTCGAAAAACGGTGTTAACTAGCTAAAAAATGTCATTTAAGATATATTTGGTGAGCTGTTGATTGACAATAAATTACATCGTTTTCCACGTCCTGGGTGGAATAGCGAGATTAATGTTCCACAACGCGCATGTTGATCTCATACCATGCTACCATTTATTGTACTTTCGCTATATTTGCAAATCGATTCAGTTCAACGAGTGTGGGCCGAAAGCTAGCGAAAGCAAACTCCCAGCTATAACTCTAAATAATTACAGTACATATTTCTGCAAAGCACATTGATCTTTGATTCTGATACATAAAAGAGTTTTCTCTTTTCAGATATTCATTACAGCTTTTTTCATCTCCATCCTCACATATTCATTAGCAGATGACCTTACGCTAGTGCTCTCTAGTTGCTCTCTTACTCGGGTTCGGGTGACATTTTCTCAATCCGTGCAGATCTATATTTAAAAGGTTAATTCAAGCGTTCTTCTGTAAAACAAGTGTTAGATTTCTACTGTTATATCATAGTATTTTAGGTTATATTCATTGGGCCGGGAACTCGAGAACGCGCGGTGTCCTTTATATGTACGTTTCATAGAGGTGGACGATTCACAACTTTTTCGAATCTGAGTTGCACCAAAAACAGACTTCAGCCATCTCGAGTTATTTTCTAAAGGTTACATTTCATACTTGTTCATTTTGCAAGAACGACTTCTAGATCGCCTCTACTTTTCTAAGTCTCCAAGGTTTTTTATGTAACGATGTGTTTTCCTCCGAAAAGTCTCACTCCTTTTCTCTCTTTCTTTCTGTGTCTGATGACAATAAATACAAGAAGCACACTTATAATAATGCAAAGTTTCACATAACTGATCCGAGTCACTTTCAAATAAGTTACGTTTTTCACATTTATGGTTTTTTGCTTCGAGTCCAAATCGTGATTCTGACCCGCCTATTAATGATGTTTCACATTTTTTTGCATATAGTTAGGAGAATATTTGAGTTATTGACTATGTATCGTTAGCGAGGAAAGTGTGACATCAGTCCCATGTTCATCAATTGTCAAAAATTGTCGGTCTCGCATCCGGTACTGCGCCGATGTTTTAGTCAAATCAAATCAAATCAAATTTATTCAGCAACATGGGCCCTGGACAGTTACAAAAAGTAATAACTTGAGAACAGCAACTTTGAGTTAAAGTAACTAAAAAAAGAAGTGTGTGACTTAGAAAATACAACAGGAGACAGAAGTACAAGACAACTCTATACAGGAACAACTCAAGTCGCACGAGAGAAAACAACAACAAAATCAAATTTGAAGGTGTATCTTCAGTGCACGTTTACAGATGAGATAGAAAAGAGACAATAACTGAACGAGGAAGATGTTTCAGTCTGAGCACGTTGATAATAACATGATTTTATATTATCTTTCAGAGAAGAAACGATACTTCATGAGATTTCGTTTGATATGGTTCTCGGAGTTTGCAGAAAAACATCGTGTATAAAGTGATCGATCCTTCATAAAAATGCCCTTCTTCCAGAATCGTTCAGTGTGTGAGCAAGCACATGTACACATACAATCCCTTTGCTGCATGCTCATATACCTTCTGTTTATGTCATTTAAAGTACTTGACTCGATACTTTTCAGGAAATTCATGGGGATACAAAATCTTTTTCAAAAACGTCATTATTTGATTGATGTGCTAAAACTTAACGTCATAACAGAAAAGCACTTAGTGTTTTCACTGAAGTATTTTTAATAGAAATTTTCAATCTGTTTTAGTTAACTGCAAATGCAAGTTTATTATCCATTTAGCAGGTCCAATTTTATCTGAGAGAAAACACAAAAAACATCATAACCATCGAAAAACGCTTTCGGAACATTTTCACTATTGCAGATGTAACAAGTCATGTATCAACGAAAAAAACGCGCATAGTTTTTTGTTCTTCTTATTAGTGAGAGAAATTACTTACTTACTGAAGAAACTCTTTATTCTGTTTAATCTCTGTACATCTGCAAAAATACAAAAGTTCAATCTTTCAAAGAAAAACATCACCTTCTCTTAGAGGACAGAAATTCTTGTGGAATACACATTTCATTCACTAACCACCGTCTTTAACAAACTATTAAACATTAATAATTTGAAATGCAGAATGCTGAATTGTATAGACAAAGTGGTACGATAAGAAAGTTTTGATGAAGTGTACTTCAGATAACATATCTATAGTTTTAACGTGACTGTTCCTCACATTTTATATTAGAATGAAATTAGTTTATATTATTCTTTTTCAATGAACTGACGTTTTCATTTATATAGTATTCGAGTCAAATGTAGCACATGCTAATCGGAAGTTATCTGTGCTCATGTTATCGTAAACTTTTTTTCTCGATCTTTATGAGAAAGAAAAATTAGTTTATATATCAGAATAAAGTCTCGGATATAAGATCTTTCTTCTTTCCCTCTCTCTTTCTCTTCCTCTCTTTTTCTCTCTCTCTCTCTTGTTTCCTGGTTTAATCTTTACTATTACTCTTGTATTTGTTTATTCTTTTTTCAATTCAATATCTAGTTATTCTGGCATATAAAATTCTTCTCACGACTGAGTTTTTTAGAACAACCACTTCTCTACAAAATGAGTCATAGAAGCAATCTTCATCTCGATCCAGTACCCATAGCTCAGTTTATAGAGAAATGTTTGTTCGACAAAACTCAGTTGTGAGGAAAGTTTTATATTAATGCTCTTCATACAATCTATTTCTGAAAAAAGCTAAAAATATCGCTTTTTAACCGGTGCATGCCTAATTTGTTTATGCTTTTTTCAATTGAATATCCACTTATTCTGCCGATAATTTTTTCTATTTTTTCGCTTTCTGAGAAGAAAAGAGATTACTATCAACGTTTCAACTACACCTGATAAACCGAAAACATTAAAAAGTAATTTATTTCATACTAGTGGTCAAAAAGAGATTAGCCATGATCAACAGTCGGATCTTTGATAAACAGCTAGTATTTACGCAGAAATGACCATTAAACGATCACTATTAAATACTTGTTTTCAGCCTGTTTCTCGGTCGTTAAAAAAATGACACTTTTAGACATTAATATGTGCACAGCTATAATGCCGAAAAATGGTCGAAAAACGGTGTTAACTAGCTAAAAAATGTCATTTAAAATACATTTGGTGAGCTGTTGATTGACAATAAATTACATCGTTTTCCATGTCCTGAGTGGAATAGCGAGATTAATGTTCCACAACGCGCATGTTGATCTCATACCATGCTACCATTTATTGTACTTTCGCCATATTTGCAAATCGATTTGTTTCGTGGAATTTTATGTTCATTCGAACTTCGATCGATACAAGTAGCAAGAGACGATTAAAACTGAACTCTGCTCGCGTTACCGTCGAACGAGTAGAGTTGTGCGGTCTACATGCTAGTGTTCAGTGCCATTCACAGTATAATGCAAAACGTACTTGAGTTTTTCGTTTTTTTATTTGAACCTCGATCCAAATGAACATGTTTGTACTTTTTGACATCGGCCGGTTTGGAAAAGTCATCTTTCAATAGCTCGGTAGCCTTTTTCACACAATCTGATTGCAAATGATCTTCATACGCGTCTTCTGATGCCCATTGTGTAACAATAGTAAAATGTGCTGCATCGACAACGTTTTCGTAGAGTCTATATTTCATACAACCTTCTGATTTCCTCGCTGGTTCAATTAAATCAAAAAGAACTTGTTTAACATGTTCGATCTTGTCCGGTTTGGCGTAAACATCAACCACGAGGGGCAGCACTACGGAATTCATGATCTAAACACATTGCAATGACGCTATGCAGGTCATCTGACAAGAAATTATCAATCTCCTTTACTTGGTCACATACAGATCCGACTTTTGCTTAAGCATTGCTATTGCACTTTCTTAGTAAAGAGTATCCTCTCCTTATATAAGAACGTTGTCTTTTTACCTTTCGCTTTTTCTTCTCCCTGCAAGTATTATTAAATTATAATTTGTTCATCAAGAAACTAGCTTTCTTTAACGGATGTGACGTAAAGAATAAGTATCCCTTCTGATTAAAAACAAAAAGAGAAAATAAACGAAGAAGTATTTGCCATCAACTTTACAACGTTGAACTACCACCACTGTTACAGAATAAAGACACTTCAAGAAAAAGAAGTTGACTTTCTTATTTACAAGACAAATGGAAATGAGATCGAGATCTATCTGAAACAAGGGACATTTCTTGTTTTTTATGGATAGACTAGTAGTGATTTGCAAGCTTCTTTTAGATGAAGAAAAATACTGTGAACAGGGAATTACGGTCCTTCAGGTCTCTACGATATATTTTCGTGAAAGAGAATCCTTTTTGCGAAAGACGCTAAAGTCATATCTTTCCTGTTTTCCCGTTAATTTTGCTAATTTTTTGTGGTATAGGCCGTTTCGTAAATTGCATGCTGTTGCTTGAAAAAATGTAGAGAGCTCAAACACGTCGCATTTTGTTCAGAAATATTTGCTCTATACAATGGAGTTGTTCGTAACATAAAACTCATATCTATACTTGGTCACATACAGATCCGACTTTTACTTAAGCATTGCTGTTGCACTTTGTTAGTAAAGAGTATCCTTTCCTTATATAAGAACGTTGTCTTTTTACCTTTCGCTTCTTCTTCTCTCTGCAAGTATTACTAAATTATAATTTGTTCATCAAGAAACTAGCTTTCTTTAACGGATGTGACGTAAAGAATAAGTATCCCTTCTGATTAAAAATAAAAAGAGAAAATAAAACGAAGAAGTAACGGGTGGGCCATAAAGAATTACACTAGTTTCTTATCGGTATAACGTAGTCAGTTTTGACGCTATGGGCCAAATTTCTTTTTTAAAAGATTCGGCATTCAATTCTCTAGAAGCAGATGTCAAAACTTTTGTTGTAAAGCATAAAGAAAAATTATATAAAGAATACCGAGAAGGTCCAACATGTCCAACTTTCTTGGAAATAAAATAGTCTTTTTCGTTCCATTCGTTGGATTTTTGAATCTACAAAAGGAACTAGTCATTTTGTAGCGCATGGAAAGTTCTATCGTTCAAGTATGTTAGAAAATGTTTTGCATGAATACCTGTTGCGTAGGTGAATTATTTCTTTTTTCAAATTTTACAAAAGTCACGTTGCTGAATTATTGATTTTAGGGTTCTAAATTTGCATGAGTCGATCAAGAATTAATCTTTCCAGTTGTATTACGTTCCTCTTCTTTATGTTCATGTACACCTCTTGACATAACTGCCACTGCTTGTACATCGTTATCTGGTACGACTATCTGAATTTCAAAAAAACATAATGGATATTTTCTGTACTCACTGCATTTGAACGAATACTTCGTATGATTCTTCAAATCTGATCGACGACATTGGCATACGTTGTATTGCAATTTGGATAATTCTTTTGCTTCTTCATAAGATTGGACTGTGCGAAAAATGGTTTTTTTAATTTTTTCGTATTTTCAACTTGTTGAAATTCAATACCTCGTGCAAATAAATTCAATATTTGACGATGGACACGCACTTGAATTTCATTTCCCGATATTAATAAATAAAACAAATGAACCATCACCTAAACAACGGATTCCTATTGTATTTTTTAATGTGATTGAAAAGGTAACTAAGTGAGGGATATTAGCATGCTAGTTGCCTTTCATAAGTCATATTCAAGCATTTTTTCAAGCATATTCTTTCTCACAGTGTATGTTCTTTACAGACGACTGCTGCAGAAGATAAGCAATGGTAACCTAAGTTTTTTTACGAAAATCCTACCTAAATGTACAAATGGTGACATTCCATATTTTGATTTTTTGCATCTACAGGGCATATTTAAACAATTAATTGTTGTGTATTGTCCTTGTTTTTCTATTTGTAATGGTAAACGCAAT